TTTTTCTGAGCTCTTGAACACCAGCCCAGTTTCTGTTCACAGGATCCCAAGCATCCCTCACGGGGCTCTGTCTTGTTCCTTGCCTCTTGGGCCACACGGTGGCGCTGTGCCCCAGGTCTCCCCAAATCCTGGGGATACCTGTTAGGAGGTTGGCAGGAAACAGGCCTCTTCTTGAGGACTCACCTTTTCCTCTCTCAACAATTTCTGCCTTCTATTTTTTTTTTTTATAATAAAGTTAAAACAAACAGGAAAAAAAGAAAAAAAAACACAACAGGAAAGCAAAAAATCATTCCTATTACTGTGATCATCTCACCATGAAAATTGCCAATAAATCTCCAGAAGGAGAAGTTTCAAGCAAAATCCAAGACAAGGTTGGTATTTTGGACTACTTCCTCCTGTCCTCGGGTCACTCTTGATTTGTGCTGTGTTGCTTTTTTTTTTTTAAACTGCCTTTTGTTTTATTGGTGTCCCACAGCCAGTTTCACCTGCAGGGCTGTCTCAGAATCCCAGACCTCTCAATGTCATGGCAGGACTCATTTGGAGTGGAACTGGGACCCGGCATTGCCCCTTCTCCCTCTAGATGGCTGAAGCACAATTCCAGAATGTCGCTTCTTTCTCCTGTGTGAAACACGTGAAACTGCACTGTTATTAACTCCATTCAGATTCATGGTGTTGCCACGTGTGTTAAGAGTACAGCTGTGCTGCATAGGGTTTTCAGTGGGGATTTTTTTTTTAGTCAGCAAGTTGCCAGGCCTTTCTTCTGAGGTACATCAGGTTGGTCTCGACCCTCCAGCCTTTGATGTCATAGGCAAACATGTTAACTTTTTGCGCCACCCAGGGACTCTCAGCTGCCATGAGTCAGTTTTCCACTCAGGGTTACCAATCCCCAGCCCCTAGTCATGTGACAGAATAATACTACATCATGGGTTTCCTAGACTGGAAGCAGACAGACAGATTTTACTCCCCAAGAGCAACTGGTGGGTTCAAACTGCCAACCATTCCTTTAGTGTTCTTATATTAAGGGACCTGTGAGTCTGTGTTAACTCATAGGAACAGTTAACTATGTGTAACAGAACTGCGTGGTCTTGAACCCGTCATTCCAGCCACCATGTCAGCCCAGCTCATTTTGGTCTTCTTTTTCTCTGACCTTCTGTTCTAGCAAGCATGATAGCCTTCTCAAGGGACTGGTTTCTCTTGATTATACGTGGGACAAATTCTTGCGATCCTCATGCCCAAGGACCACGCTCGCTGGCTGCCTTTGCTCAGCTGTGTAAGCTCACTCCCAGGGATCCCTGGGACACCAGCCCCTGTAACCACTGTTTTCCCTCCGTGGGCCACGGCCTCTCCACACTCACCATTTTGGAGAAGAGGAAGTAGAGGAGCTGGTGGGACAGGTAGTAGCCAGAGTAGCCAGTCTTCGTCATGAAGTCACTGCAGAACTTAGAGTACCCACAGGGCTGGCTGTCGTTTGTCCTGGAGGAGAGGTGGGGAATGTGTGTATGAAGTTCCAGCCACTAAGAAGATGAAATCCTAAAGGAATCCTAGGGCCTGGTGCTGCCCCATTACACCTGCACCTTCCCTTCGGTGATTCTGCAGTAATTATTAGTCCACTCACCCCCACTAACATGGAGTAGATTCTGCCTCATAGAGAGACCTCATAGAATAGCATAGAACTGTCCATAGAGTTTCCTCGGTGGTAATCCTAGTGGTAAGAAACTGCGCTGCAATGCCAAAGGCACACGGTTCGAATCCACCAGCTGCTCCACAGAAGAAGGATGGACATTCTCCTCCCGTATGATTTACTGCCTCTGAAAACCTGAGGGAGGGTCAGCTATGGGTTGGTTCTGACTCAATGGTACACACAACATTTTTTTTACAACTTTTTTTATAATTTTTTATTTTTATTATTTGTGTGTACCATCAAATCAGATATAACAACACTTTTTATAGAAGCAGATCACCTTACATTTCTTCTGAAGAGCAGTTGGCAGGTTTGAACTGTGGACCTTCTTGTTAGCAACTAAGCACTTACTCACTGCACCACCATGGCACACTAGTCATTGTTGTTGTGTACCAGCACTCTGGAACCAACACTTCACTGACTCTGCAGCAGGTTTTCAGAAGCAGTAAATTGCGTGAGAGAACATTGCCTGTCTTTCTCCCATGGAGCTGCTGGTAGATTTGAACTGCGTCCCTTTGGGTAGGCAGTGTATCTCTCCTTACCACTAAGCCACTAGTCATTGGCCCCTTCTCAACTCCCAGGTACAAGTAAGGAAGCCAGGGAGATACAGACGTGTGTGTGTGTGTGTGTGTGTGTGTGTACATGTATACACACATGTGTGCAGATTAACAGCTCAGCAAGGGCTTCAGGTAGGAGGGAGTTTTGAGGGACCTGAAAGGAGATCCCAGGAGAGTGGCTGGGAGCCAGGCAGGCCAATAGGGGCAGCAGGAATTTAAGCTTTTTCCTAAGATTGAGGCTGTGATTTTTGGAAAGCATGCTCTCTTTGGGGTGTGGTGTCTTAGGTGGACAAGGGCAAAACTGGAGACAGGTCAGAAGTCAGGAGGCCCGGGTGGAATCGGAGGGGATGGTGTGACTGAGCCAGGCTTAGGTGGAGTGATGGGAATTCCAGGCAGGCTGCTGGGAAGAGGACCTCCTGGGAAGGGCTAGATGGGCTTGGGAAAGGAAGACAGAAGTGACTCCTGGGATCTGGCTCTGGTTTTTGCATAGATAGACCTTTGAGTTCAGCTGTGGAGACCTGTAGACCCGCTGGGAGCCAGAAAGAACCCTCTGGGATTTTTATGAATAAAGAGAGCCAGCCAGACCCACCTGGTTCCCAGGAGCTGAGCCAGGCACAGGTCACTGTAGGACTCTGAGAAGGGGTCCTCGGATGGAAATGCTGGGTAGACCATGGAGGTATTGATATGGGTCCAGGCATGAGGAAGCTTCCAGAACCCTGGCTGGATGATTGGCTGGAACGCTGGCCGAGGGAGACATGAGGTCAGAAGAAGAGGTAGGGATCCCAATGTCCAAGACATAAAACTTATACTCAGCCAATGGGCTTCCTTAGCGTTAGAGTCGCAACCTGGGAGGAAGGGCTGGGTGGGGCCATTGCAGCCTGTTATTTAAGATCCATGTGTGGTCTGACTAATACCTATCCTTGCCCATGTGCTGAGGCTAAAGTCCAAGGAACTAGATGTCCCACTCTAAGCTCTCCTGACTTCGTGCAGGGACCTGCTTGGACCCCACGGTTCTCATTTGAGGGAGGGTCTTGGCTTGGAAGGGAGCACTTGTGGTGTAGCCCATAGTGGCTGCACGGCTCACCCAAAGGCCTCTTGGGTGCTTTGAATTCACCTCCTGTGCACTTTACAGCCTTGGAAACCAGCTGGAAGATCAGCTCCAAGTTGTTTCCCACTCAACCACAATGAGTTTTCTTCCCCCCCCCCACTCTAATTTTCTTTCAAGTACAAAAAGCACTTTGAAATGAAGCACAATAATGACCTTGGGAACAGGTCTAGCCAGGACCAGGCTTTGTCTCATAGTTAAGTTGTGTGTGATCAAGTCAGTCCCGACTCCTCACAAATCCCTGGAACACAGTAGCACCGCCCATGATGTTTCTAAGGCTGTATGTAATCTTCATAGAAACAGATTTGATCTTTTCCTCCAGGAGCTTTGGGTGAATTTGAACTACCCACCTTTCTGTTACCATTTGGGGTGCTAACCATTGCCTCACCTGGTTCCCTAATTTTGACAAAATGCGTGGCATCCCATAGGAGTTTCAGGTCTTTAATAAGGATGAACAGACTGCTTTGGTTTGGGAGTTCTTGGGTGGTGCAAAGAGTTAACACACTGTGCCACTAACCAAAGGTTGAAGGTTCCAGTACACCGTGAGGTGCCTCAGAAGAAAAGCCTGCAAGTCTACTTCTAAAAACTCAATCACTGAAAATGCCAGGGACTGTGCACTTCTCCTCCGCCTCACATAGGAGACAGGGGTCGGGATGGGGTGACGACAGGTTGGGGGCAACTTGGTTCCATTTCCAACATGGCGAAAACCTAGGCCAGGATTACAGGACTAGACTCCTTGTATGGTCATTCCCATCTGACAAAGGTGAAGACCTTGAGCATCGTAGGACCTCGAGGTAAAGTAGCATGATGAGAAAAGAATCAGTTACCTTGTAGACCCTCTACTTGTGGAATAGACTCTTAGTCCAGGGTACGACCCTTAACCATGGGTGGAGGCGAGCTGCATGGATGAAGCAGACGTTCCCCGCTCTCCAGCCTCTCAGAATGGGTGGGAGGGTCTACATCACCTACAGTCAAGGGCGACCAGACCTTCCCCGGGATCCACTTGGGGTTCTAGGCAATGCAGACCCTCCCTTGCCTGCACCAGGTTCTTTCAGTAAACACCCCTGAGAAATAGCGCCCCACCTGTGTGCTTACCTTGGAGGTAGGTGGGGCTGCTCAGCTGCAGGTAGGAGTTGGATCTGCTAAGGAGGACCACCAGCTTCTCAGCCAGCCTTCCTGCGCGCTGGCTCAGTGCCTGCAGCAGAGGGTCCTGGGCCCACGCCTCCTGAACGGCGCTGAGCTGCACTGGGAGGGAGCACAGAGAGTTCATTTCACCGTGTGTGCAAGAGAAGGTGTACTAAGTTATGCTACTTATAGTGTCAGGTTGATGGAATTGAATTCATCTCCCAATAAAGGTCTTGTCCAAATCTGAACCCCAAGTAGCTGTGAGTGTGATAATTAGAAATTGAACTGTGCCTGCCCTCCCAAATTGTTATTGTTGTTATGGGCCATCGAGTCACTTTGCAACTTATAGCGACCCTAGGTACAACAGCTCTGAACCCCGTTCTCTCCTGAGCCAACCTTATTGTCTCCGACACACCTCCCCCCTTTACCCACCCCAGTCTCTGAGTCAATCCACCTCATCTTCCTCCACCCTCCCAAGCATGACATCCCTCTCCAAGGACTGGTCCCTCTTTGCAACACATCCAAAATATGTCAGATGAAGCTTCAGAATCCTCACCTCCAAAGCAGCAGCCTGGCTTCACCCTCCCCAGGATGAACCCGTTTGTTCTCCTAGCAGTCCATGGTATATTCAATACTCGTCTCCAGCACCACAGCTCAAAGGCAGTAATTCTCTGTTATCCCTAGTCATTGTCCAGATCTAAATGTGTAATAAATCCTGTGTGGTTAGAATCTCATCTGGCAATGGGTTTTCTTTGTCATGTTAATGATGCACTGTTTGTTCAGGATGCATTTTCAGTTACTCTGTTATGACATAGAAACGAGACTAAAGAAGAAATGATTAAGCAAGAGAGGGGAAGAGAGGAGACCAACCACATGTTGACTGCCTGAAAATCAAGGAACATGAAGTTCTTTCTCCAGGGCAAACAGTAAGAGAAGGTCTTTCCCTAGATATGGACCCTAAATTCAGACTTCTGGCTTCTTTAGCCATAAGAAAATTAAAATCCATTATAACAGCGCTAGGAAACTAAGACACTGTTTGGAAATAGGGTCTTTGCAGGTGCAATTAAAACGCAGTTATGATGAAACCATTAGTTATGACGAGGCCATTCGTTATGGTGAGGTCATATTGAAAGTTAACGGCTTCATATTTCTCTCATGGAGCTGCGGTGTGTGGATTGGAATTGCCGACTTCTTGGTTATCAGCCCAATACTTTCCCCACAGCTCCTCCAGACCTCTTTTGGAAGGAGAAATAGAGTTCATAGGGTCACTATGAGTCGTGCTTGACTCGAAGACAATCAGCAACAACAACGCTTTAGAGTATATTTGGGATTCCTTTAAGTCGTAGGTGGCATAAACGGTCTGGGCATGACTGCTAACCTAGAGATTGGCATCTTGAGGCCTCTCCGTGGCAGCCTAGGGAGTTGCACCTTTAATCCAAAGGCTGAACATCTCCTACAGTTCAAATCCAACTATGGCACCTAGGGAGGGGTTGGGGAATGAGTGGTCTCCTCGTGTTGCAATTTTACAGTCTCCAAAACCTATGCTATGAGTTGGAATGAATTTGATGTCTGAGATTTTTTTCCTTTTAAGGGTGTTAAACATACCATGGACTATCAGGAAAATAAATAGGTCTGTCCCAGAGAGGGTGAAACCAGGCTGCTCCCAGAGGCAAGATTTTGAGACTTCGCCTCACATACTTTGGACACATGGCTAGGAGGGACCAGTCCTTGGAGAGGGTCATCATGTTTGGAAGGGTGGAGGGACAGCACAGGAAAGGAAGACCCAGCATAAGACGGGTTGACTCAGTGACTGTAGAAATGCGGTTAGGTCTGTCAGAGACGATGAGATTGGCTTAGGATAGGGAAGGATTCAGAGCTAATGATCACTATGGGTCACAGGCAAGGTGATGGCACATAACAACAACAACAACAACTTGGAAACAAACTTGGCAATCTCCTGTGGAGATGGTGGTCAAGAAAAATCCCTATGGGACAGTTCTGTGCTGTTGTCACAGGGGTGGCTAGGAATTAGAATTGATTTGAAGGCAAAGAGTTTGGGCAACTCTCTGATTTCACCCTGGCACCTACTAACGGTTGTTGGGGACAGTTCTTGGGGCTCCCCAGGAGGTAGCCTGGGATACCAGGGGTGCAGAGGGGAGCTTGGGGAAGGCCATGTGGCATGGAGCGAGGACTTGGCCCCAGGGACTGATGCAGCCCTGCTGGGCAGCCCTACCTCCTATGGATTCCTGAGTTCTCAGGGGGTGAAATCCTCGCTGCCAATTCTGAGGGTGATTTGGAACGCCCACTGCCCAAAGCCTGGCTGAAGACACTGCCATCAATTGGGGGGTGGCTGTAGGGAGGGGATTACTCGAGGTGGGGGGCTGGTTCCTTGTTTGTCTGGGCCGGTTGCCAGCCCTCTCCTTGGGGATCTGAAACCTCTCAAAGCTGAACAAACACAGGTCTGTTTCTCTGAGCCTCCAGGAGACTTTGGTTGGGAGTGGAGGCAGCTGGGTTGAGACCTTATTTTGAGGGTCTCTGGTTTGCTCCCTGGACCTTGGTCCTGCCCTGGCTATTACCCCATAAATGTTCCCTGGAAGGATGGAATATTCTGTCTGCCTTGTTAGTAACATGCAAAAAGGAGTAGCCCAGTGAATCATCCTGATTTCCATTTTATTGGAAAAATAGTAAGTTCCCATTTCCATTTTATTGGGAAAAAAAGTTAAGTTCCAACTCTTCTCATGTTGCCTAGAAATTCTCCCTCTGTCTGAAACCAGGCAGAAGCCTGACACCCAAACGGAGCAAGCTGCCCCCTGTCCCTTTCCTAGAGTCAGACAGGCTGCTCCTAGGCCGGGTAGCCACTGGAACCTCACGAGTGCAGACTGGGGCTGAGTAGTACCACGGCCAAGCTGGGGCACGGGGGCTCACCCACCTTGTAGCACCTGAAAGCCTGCCATGCCATCCAGGTTGAAATCCGGCAGCCTGTCTTCCAGGAAGAGGGTGGCTCGCTCCAGTGAGGACAGGATCAGGCTCCCGATGGTGGCCTTGCTTTCTGCGGTGTCCGGCTGGGGCAGCAAGGAGGGCTGCAGGGGTGGTGAGGACAGCAGCAGGAGCAGGACCAGCAACCCCAAGGCCGCCATGGTTCACTCCTGCTCCCGCAACTGGTCGGGTGCTTCTGCACCAGGAATTCTGGTCCAGCTGCCTCTCCTACCTCCCCGGGACTCCTCCTCCCACAGACAGCAGGCAAGGGGCTGGACTGGGCTGATCTGCCTGGGGCAGCTGCACAGATTAGGTAACGAGAGACCTCGGGGAAGGATAGCAGCAGGTAATGTACTTGTGCTCAGCTAACAAAGTGTGACCCAGTCCTGGGGCATCTTTATGATGAGGGAGTCCACTGTCAAGGCCAAGTGTGCATCCATCCCGTCTGGGAAACGAGGTTATGTATATTCTTATCTGTGAGTTGTTTTTCTACAGACCTATCCAATCTGTATGCTGAGCAAAGAATTAGAGAAGCTGGACTGTAGGAAGGGAACTCTGGTGGCCTCATAGATAAGGATTTGAGTTGCAAACTCAAAGCAGGCAATTCAAATCTACTAGCTCCTCCACAGGAGGTCACTGGGCAAGCTCTTTCCAGCTTCTGAAAACCCACTGGAGGGTCAGCTATGGAGTTGGTTCCAGTTTGACAGCAGTGAGTTGAGTTTGGACTATAGAAAGAAGAATGCAGCATCAGGACTGGAGGTAGACTCAACAGCAAACTCCATTACATTGATAACACAGCCTGCCGTGCTGAAATTGAAGACCTGAAGCATTTACTGCAGAAGATCAGACTATAATCTGCAATGTGGATTGCATCTCAACGTCAGGATAAAAAAAGTCATCACCACTGGACCAACAGACAACTCCTGACAGATGGAGAAAAGACTGAAGTTTCAACGATTTCATTTCTCTGGATCCACAATCAATATTCATAGTAGTGGCAGTAAAGAAGTCATTGGGCAAAGGACTCTTTAAAGTGCTGAAGAGGCGGGGATGTCCATATAAAGGCAAATGGGTGTCTGATCCAAGCTATGATCTTTTTAATTGCTTCCCATGCATCTGAAAGTTGGACAAGGAATAGGATGAGAAAGAAGAATCGATGTCTTGAAATTGTGGTGTTGGAGAGAAATACTAAATATCCCACGGACTGCAAGAAGAGAAAAAAAAAATATGTCTTTCTTGGAAGAAGTGAAGCCTTAGCAATTGCATGCTTAATAGATTACAGCACAATGTCAGCGTCGCTTTAATTTGTATGGAAAACACAAATCGTGTGACTGGCTTCTTTGCTTTTTTTTTTTTTTTTAGATTCCTATGGCTCTTGGAATGGCCCTGCAATACCTTGGAAATATGCCTGTCATTTTCTGTAAAGGGCCAGGTGGTAAGCATCTATGCATCTTTATAACATATCCTTGTTTATATCAATTTAAAAAGAAATACACATCCCTTTTAAAATGTAAAATCTATGTTCCACTAAGAGCTAAACCTGCCGTCAGGTCTCAGGACTGTTTGACCCTGGCGTGGGCCCTACTTGGCCAGCTGGGCAGCTGTGGAGGAGTGCTATGTGGACCCCAGGAAAAGAGGCCACCTCCTGGTGTGCAGTCCCTCCCTCACCAGCGGCCCAGAGCTGTTGGCCAGGGGATGGCAGACGAGCTGTCCTGCCTGCCCCCACTCTCCATGAGTCCCTGCCTCTCACACCCTCCAGTCAACCTGCTCTTTCATCCTAGGAGATGAGCTGAGTGGAAGGTAGTGTTGCGGCCCGTTGTCCCCCACGTATGTAAGGGCAGTGGCTCTGGGAGAAGAGAGATGAAGCATTAAACAGTGTTGACTGTTGGCGAAGACATCAATCTCCTTAGAGCCTCTTTCCATCTCATTGCTCTGGAGCAGGGAGCTCTTGGCCTGGTGCCATCTTCCAGCTTCAGGACCCTGAGAGCCCGTGGCAGGAAGTTGACCTCAAGGTGTGTAGAACAACAGCCTTGTTGTTGTGTATCATCTCATAGCTTCTCATGAGACACGGCTGACCTGTTTCACAGCGTTTTCTGTTTCCGTGGCATAAATGACAGACCCCTTCAGAAGTGGTCCTAGAATAAACACATTTACTGAACAGACTCTAACACCACATACATATAACAGCAAAGAGCTAAGCCTCTTCATAGGCCCCTTCTTTTCTTCTCCCAGAGTTAATGGACTTGAATATTTTTATGATTAGTTGATTTTTGCTATGCACAGAAATTTCATACACAGGTATTGAACCCTGTATCTTCCCAGGAGCCCAGTATCTTCACAGGGGCAGGTCACCGTAAAACCTGGTCAACAGCATTTCATCAACCAGTCCCTATGTAACCTCACGATGGTGAATAACGCTGCTATGAACATTAGCGTACAAATTTCTGTTTGTATCTCAGTTCTTGTTTTCTCAAAGTATATTCCAAGCAGTGGAATAGCTGGGTCAGATGGAATTTCTGTGTTCAGCTTTTTGAGGAAACCCCAAACTGCCTTCCAGAGTGATTGAACCATTTTACAATCCCACCAACAATGCATAAGAGTTCCTATCTCACCACATCCTCTCCAACATTTATTACTTGCTGCCCTTTGCCACCACTACTGGGGTAAGATGGTATCTCACTGTGGTTTTGATTCGCATCTCTCTTATTGCCAGTGATTTGGAGTATTTCTTCATGTGTCAGGTGGGTAAAGGAGAGGGGAAAGATCTGGTGTGAAAAACAATGTAGAAGAAGTTTGCAAGTAAACAAATAGAATTTTTTTTTTTTAAAAAAAGACCTGACCTTGTATCAAAGAAGACAATTTTTTGTTTTTGTCTTTTTTTGTTTGTTTGTTTGTTTGTGAGGGTTTTTTGTTTTTGTTTTTGTGAGGGGTGTTTTGTGTTTTTTTTTTTTTTTGTGAGGGTTTTTTTTGTGTGTGTTTTGTTTGTTTTTGTCTTTAAAAACAATCAAAGGGTAAATAGTTTCTAGCAGTGAGTAGGATATAGAAACCTTAAAGGAATGCTGCTAGGTTTGCTCTGATCCCAAGCTTTCCTGGTTTCTTTGCCTGTTTACACAGTGCTGGATGAAAACTCTATTTCTTTATTTTTTTAATCCTTTTTAAAAAATTAATTTTAATGAAAGTTAATAGAGACTTAGGGTTTCCAGTCATTCATTGTTGCACTTTTCTCCCTGCCCACCCCTTCCCCCGCAACTCACTCTTCTTGAAAAGTAAAAGAAAACTCTTTCATTGCTATGCAATCCTTCCCTCTCCCTTTAATTTTTATTATAATGTTGCCATGGAGTAAGAACTGCCCCTCTAGGAGGTTTTCGAGAGGCTGCAAATTGAAGAAGAGATTGTCTACCTGTCTACCTGCTTTTGGGGGGGGGGGGTCTTTGAAGGACTCACACACTCCCCTCGGGGCATCATCGCCTTGAGGTAGCAAGGCAACTCCCTACAGACCATGCTCTAGAGCGCCCCCTAGTGCCTTTTCTCACATAAAGGAACTACTGAGGGAATCGAGTATCCACTGTTGAGTCAGTGCCTGGGGTAATAGGGGTGGATGTGTCAGAGACAATACATTTGGATCAGGATATAGCAGGGTTCAGAGCTATTGTACACAGGGTCGCTATGAGGCACAGGCAGGCGACTTGATGGCCAATAACAACAACAGCAACAACATTGGTTCAAAGGTAAAAAAAGATAAACAATCTCTTCCCGAGGTACTTACAGCCTCTTAAAAGCTCCCTGGAGAGTCAGCTATGAATCAGTTCTGATTACTGCAATGAGGGTTTGTGGTTGTTGGGGGTTTTTGTTTGTTTTCATACTGGTCTATTTACAAAGTTGGTATACATTGTTTTTCACACCACATCTTTCCCGTTCCCTTCACCCCCCTCCCTCTACCCATCAAATTGTGGGACCCTATGATTAATCCCCCCACCCCTCCAGCCATCCTCAGCCCTCTGCTCCTGCCTCTCCGACTTGGATTCTCATACTCGTTCTGCAGTAATGGCCTTATACAGTATTTGTCCGTATGGGACTGAGTTAGTTCACTCAGCATAATGATCTCCAGTCCCTCCCAAGTTAGGTGGTTGTTGTTCTGTGCCGTCGAGTCGTTTGAGATTCATAGCGACTCTATGTACAACAGCCCTAAACCATGCTCTATCCTGTGCCAATTGCATTGCCTGACACACTCATCCCGATTACCCCAATCACTGAATCCATCCACCTCATAGAGGGTCTTCCCCTCCTGTGCTGTCCCTCTACCCTACCAAGCATGATGTCCCCTCTCCAAGGACCTGTCTCTCCTTACAACATGTCCAAAGTATGTCAGACGAAGCCCCAAGGAGTAGCCTGGTTTAACCCTCTCTAGGATGAATCTGTTTGTTTTCTTGGCAGTCCATGGTACATTCAATACTCTTGTCCAGCACCACAGCTCAAAGGCGTCAATTCTCCTTCTATCCTCCCTAGTCATTCCAACTCTCTGATGCATAACAAGTGATTGCAAAAACCATGGCCTGTATCAGACACACCTTAGTCTCCAGAGAGACACCATTGCTCTTGAGTACTTTAGAGAGGTCCCTAACAGCAGACTTTCCCATCACAATACGTTTTTTTATTTCCTGGCTGCTGGTGCCAAGAGTGTTGACCGTGGAGCCGAGCAAACTGAAGCTGTGAACAATCTCAATCTCTTCACCATCCATCCTGATGCTACCGATTGGTCCAGTGGTGAGAATCTGTGTCTTCTTGACATTGAGCCTCAGTCCATACTGAAGGCTGCAGTCCTTGACCCTCTGAGTTGTGTCATCTGCATAACGCAGATTGTTGATAGATCTTCCACCAATCCTAGCTTCTCCTCATAGAGCCCAGCCTCTCAGATAATCTGCTCTGCATACAGGCTGAAAAGGTATGGAGATAGGACACATCCCTGGCCTACACCCTTCCCAATTTAGAACAATGCAGTGTTGCCCTGCTCTGTTCTGATGACTGCCTCTTGGTCCAAGTATAGGTTTCGCATTAGCATGATTAAATGTTCTGGGATTCCCATTCTTCTCAGAGTCAGCCACAGTTTGTTATGATCCATGCAGTCAAATGCCTTTGCATAATCAATGAAACACAGATAGAC